ATATTACAACAAACTGAAATTGCTCACATGACTCAGGCTTACTGATTAATCCACACCTTTCTGCTAATGTGCCATTAGAGTGATCAATTCATTGACAGCAAGAAACAGCAATTGCTTTGTGAAAATTGTTGGAAAGCTCTGGCTCACACCCAGCCACCTCAGTGGAAGTCAGCGCAGGTCTCAGTCTCGCTAATAAAAGATGTCAGTTCAGAAAGATGAGAGCGAGTTTGGATTTAATTGGCTATCAGGAATTTATTTTCCCCTCCGAGTTGAGATTTGCACATCATCTGATAATAATGGCAGACATAGCTTTCAGCAATACTGACCTTTATCTGACCTTTAAAATGATGAAAATATTTTAGATTCCTCTGACTGTTGGGGCTGTTAATGCACAGATGGAGTTTCACCTACACGAACGCCTGAATGCCAGCAGGTAACATTTTCTGTTTCTTTCAGTGCTGCGTCCGTCTGTCTGTCCATCACATTCTCATCTGCTATCCTTCACATATATGTCCTGCTGAAAGAGTTCAGAGTTCTTTTAAAATAAGTTGTTTCACTTGACAGCCATCTTGGCAACGTCCAAGACAAACTATGTTGTAATAATACAAGTACATCTCATATCTACTTGAAGGGAAAAGATCAATAACAACTAAACCGCTGGCTAAGTTCTGAAGAAAAAAAAAATTTGTTCATTTATCCATCCATCAAGTTATTCAAAATGAAATGAACAAAATGTAAAATAAAATAAAATAAATGTATTACTATATAATTTGCAGTTGTACTATTTATATAATATATTACACTTTTTTTTTTAAATGTATTATTGTATTATTTATTTATGTATTTCAAAAGCATATTATTTTAATATTATGTATGCATATGTATGCATTGATATATATAAGCATATTGTGTGGATAATTCAATACAGTTTTGAAATAAATTATAGACTAATAGTAAATGATCGTAATAGTAAATGCATACTATTTATTATTGTTTATTTGTAATTGGACTATTTCATTATTACAATTATGTGTTGTTGTTTTTTAAAGCTTCTAAAACATATGGGCATATCTGTGTCAAATCAACCAAATTTCAGAAACGTCTGCTAAAATTTTAGATTTTGTTAATATTTTTCCTGAAGAAAGACAAACATAAATAGTGAAGAAAGCCAAAATATTAAATGTCATGGATGAATATTTACTGAGTAATCCGCTGTTTGGTAGAGGGGGGTCAAAATGACAATTTTCACTTGAGATTTGGAGAAAAATTACAGGGGTAAAAATGACACGAAAGATGGCAGCATTATTATGTTATTTTTACTCGGAGATTGGTATGTCTATTAGTAAAATCAGTTGACTTTAGTAATCTTTGTTCAATTATATGCCAATGGTGACAGTTCAAAAATGGCAAAAAGCACTTTTCGAGTTTTCCCCCCAAGGTTTGCATGGCTATAACTCAAGAAGTATTAAAAATATCCTTTTAGATTTTGTTTCTTAAACTTTTCTTCTGGTATCTTCATTTTTAAGGCCCATGAGTCAATTGTTAAACTGTACACATTTTCAGTGGGTTATTTTGCATACAGCTGATACTTTTTCCTTTTAAAGAGAAATGTCTGAAGAACAAATAATGTTGAAACTAGAAATGTGGCTCCATGTATTTTTGTACCTACAATACAAAAAATATGAACAAAAAAAATCAATATTGAGAATAAGAAGCTAAATTCTAAATACCATAATTAACAATGCAGAACACAGACGAACACAACAATTCAATCACTGTCTGCTTTTTAGAAAAAAAACAACAATCCAAAAGTTTTTGTCCTGAATATAATGCCAAAGATCGTTGGAGCCCAGTGCACTGTTCAGAAATATGTCTGTGTGTTTATACCTGTGTATATCGTTGCTGCTTATCAGTACGAAGTACTGGCTAACATTAATATGTAACATCCTGCAAGGCTCTCTCGCTCTGATGTAGATGTGCTTCCAAAAGGAGAGTGAGTCGTGTGTTATCGCAGTCAGGCAGAGTGATGGTATCTGCAGCGTTTGACTAGTTTCCATTAGGGAATTACCAGGTCAGGTTGGGGGGGGCGTTGGAGGGTGGTGGCTGCAGAGCAGACCAGCAGTAATGAAGGAATTCGCCTTCGTTGTTCGGCCAGAGGAGTATATCAGCATTTCTACATTACTCCACATGCTGGGCCTGCACTACGAGGAGATTAGGAAAGAGACCGGGATCGTACATCAGCCTCTGTGTGCCACTGACACAACCGAGAGATAGACCCGAGAAGAATCGCTGCAAAGAGCCTTTCAAAACAAGAGACACCTTGCATAGAAATGAGACTGTAGTCTGTGTTTGTACTGGCAGGGATTAAATCCAACTGTATCAGGAGGCAGATCACATGAGCCTCACTGTCTGCACTCCTATTGGTTGTCAACGGATCACATTGATGCTAATTTGCCTAATACTTTATGGATAACTGGCAACAAGCCTGGATGTTGAAAATGCATAAATTCTGCATTCTGTTTAATTCTGCTTAACTCCAGCAAGCTGTATTTGAATGCAGAAATACAGACCACGTTTAAGAAATGGCATCACATTGTGCGCTTATTGTAGGTGTCACTTTTTTTTTGCATGAAAACAAATTTAATTCAACATGAAATGAAATTACAGAAGTAAAATTTCTAATGTGACATTTATTAGTCAAAGATATTCAATGAGAACAAAAGAGTAAGGTGGGGCATTGTTTGGTGTTATTTAAAGTGTAAAAAAGGTAAAAAGAATCCTAAAAAAAACTTGTTTCATGGTTTGCACAAAAATATTAAGCAGCACAATTGTTTACAACATTGATAATAATAAGAAATATTTTTGAGAAGCAAATCAGCATATTAGAATGATTTCTGAAGGATCATGTGACACTGAAGACTGGAATAATGATGCCGAAAATTCAGCTTTGCATCACAGGAATAAATTACATTTTAAAACATATTTAAATAGCAAACAGCTGTTTTAAGTTGTAATAATATTTCACAATTTTACTGTATTTTTGAGTACAAGAAATTTATTTCAAAAACATTTAAAAATCGTATCGAACCCCAATTTTACTAGTAATTTTATCTGTTTGCACCAAGTAAAAATAGCAACAAATATCTTCTATTTTGCATAAAGTACAAACAGTGATGACATTCATATTGCAAAAAACAAAAGTAACATTCTACTAGTGAAAATAGCATTTTTATATTCAGTTTAAATAGACACTGCCTTATTATCATCCATCAGGAATTGATTGGATAATGAAAAGTCTTGCTGATAGAGGAAGGGAATGGACAAATGAGATGGACTGATTATGTCAGCCAGGGTACTAAATTCAGATGAAAACGACCAGTAACGAGTTAAAAAGTAAACATTCAGTTTTGATGTCATGTTGACTTTAACATCTAATAAAACAGCCTCATTTAGCAGAAATCCCCAGTTGAAGAGCAGTTGCACATGTTTACAGCTTGACCTCCAGCTAAATTTTTATCTTAGCAGGCCCTCTGTGGCCATTCCTAATGAGGGTTCCCTGGCTATATTTTGCATTATGTATAAAATGTTTTCCACTGCAAAAATAAAACCATGTTTTTTTTAAAGCAGGTCAATGGTATAATGAGGATGGAGAGAAGTTTAAGTAATGTGTCAGGCCTCCTGTTTTATTAGCGCTGCTCCCAGGAGGTTACAAATATGTGAGAGTAATATCAGAATGTTATAGTCATTTGACAATGGAAGTCTACTGGTTATTGATTAAACACACAATGCTGCACATGCTGTAATAGATCGAAGTTAGACATGCTGCTTAAACGAGCTCAGAAATCAAACTCTGAGAAACAAATAACAAAATGGTGGCATTTTATAGTATTCAATGAAAAATGAAGTGTAATGTCTGTGCCAACAAACAAAAACGCAAAAAAAAAAATAATGATTTATTTTCTCTCCGTTTGCCATTGGTCAGGAAAACAGACAGCCCCGCCCCCAAAACTCACGCCATTGATTTCCTGTTTCTTGATATATTGTAATGATGCAATTTTTTTCTATATATCTAAATTTATTTGTTTATTTATTCATTCAACCATTCATTCATTTCAGTCTTTCCAAATGGAAAATTTTATAAATAAATAAATGTGGTGTTTTCAAAGCAGCAAGAATAAATTTATTTATTTGTTTGTTTGTTTGTCTTCCATCCATTCATTTTAGTCTTTCACAATGGTCAAATAAAATTAATAAATAAATAACCAACCAAACAAGCAAACAAGCATTTTTTAAACAGCAAGATCAAATGAATGAATGAATTAATTAATTAATTCTTTCATTCACTTCAATCAATCAATCAGTCAGTCAGTCAGTCAGTCAATAATCACACACATTAAGCTCAGAGAGAATACGTATTTTAGCATAAAAACACTACTCACTTCATCTTTAAATTGCATTTCAATTGCATTTCAATTTCATTTGGCATTTTCTTACAAATAAATGTGGTTTTTAAAAACAGCAAGATCAAAAAAAAAAATCAGTCTTTTCACAACAAACAAACCAACAAATAAATAAATAACCAACCAGCCAATCAACCAAATAAGATCTTGCTGTTTTAAAAACTCTTTAGGGAAATCAAGCTACAAATGGTTTACTTATAGTTGTCTCTGCACATTAAGCTTTGGATGAATAAGTATTTTAGCATCCAAAGAAATTACATACTTCATCTTTAAATTTCTTGTTCCACTGCCATTTTCTCAAGTATCTTTACAGTAAAACCCAAATAAAGGCAATGTCACTTCTACGCCACCACAAGCGCTTGTCTCTCCCACCTACAGTCAAAACACTTTGCATGTCCAAGAATCACAAAGCCAAAACAAACTCACTCTGGATCCGCCTCAGGCAAAGCGGGCCCCTGTGAACGTCTGTCAGTCCGGCAGAGCCGAGCAAAGAGAGCGGTTTTGTCGAGCACAGCTTTAGTAAAGCAGAAAAGAACTCACCCAGCGGCTGTCCTGCGATAATCCTGGTGTTCTCGCCTGCCACGGCCGCCCGTGCGTTCCTTTCACTCATGTACTGGACGAAAGCGAAACCTTTATGCACCGAACAGCCCACGATCTTGCCGTACTTGGCAAAGATGACCTCGATGTCGGCCTTCTTCACGATGGCGGTGTTGAGGTTGCCGATAAAGACCCGTGAGTTGAGGGAGCGCGGGTCGTTCTTGTTAGTGACATTGCTGGTCTGACACTTCCCAGTCATTCTTCTCCTGTAAAGCAGAGACACGATGGGAACGACATCAACAACACCTGATATAGTGAATGTGTGTCTAGCATTTAAAGGCTGTTTCGCTGTAGAAATGTTGAAATGTTTAATAAAATAGAGTGTCTTCGGTTATTTATTTTGAGCAAAAGCATCTTTATACATTGTGAAGGATCTCTTTTGGTTCTGGAACCACATTTCTACCAAACAATTTTAGGATAATACTGGGGTCAGGGATATGATTAGGTTTGAGGGCTTGAAAAATACACTTGACATTTCCCTCTGATTTGGGTAAAACATGAGATCAAAATTCACCCTATTTAATAATATATAATAAACCTTTGTGGTCATATTGTTAATGATTCATCAGTGCACATTATTGCAAAGATTTTGTAGCCTTTGCATCCTTAAAATGACATTGTCAACTCTTATTTTTCAACCACTTCTCTTGAACTACCTCCGATGTACACTAGAAACCACTTTCATGTTCCAATCACATCCAGATTATAGTGCAAAATCAAGTACCGCTCAACTTTTTATACTTGTTGTAAATTCTGCTCACTTTAAAAAATATATATTTTTTTTTTAGTAAAGTTCAAACCAACAAAAGAAGTTGAGGAATATCTCCCACTTGGCTCAATGATGTTGTTTGGAGAAAATGTATGATGGATATATATATATATATATATATATATACACAATAAACATCCTTAAACTGTTCAAAAGTATGAGTAAAATATGAGTCCTCCATCCATAATATTGCTTTCTCCAGTGATAATGTTGTCTTGTCTGAATCAGGTGAGAAATATGCACAGCTCAAGCACCATTTACAAACAGTCAAAAACAGTTCTAAACCAATATGTCGGAGGATTTTTGAAGTGACAGGACAACAGGGGTTGGACCTTTTCACTGGAGGAAGCATTATGGATTATGGACTATTTTGGCCAGAAGTGATTGTTTAAAATTAAAATGTTTAATGACGGATTTTTACCTCACAAGACATTAAATGATAGACTGGAGTGGTGTGGATTACTTGTAGATTATTGTGATGCTTTTATCAGCTGTTTGGACTCTCATTCTGACGGCACCCATTCACTGCAGAGGATCCATTGGTGAGCAAGTGCTATATTTCTCCAAATCTGTTCTGATGAAGAAACAAACTCATCTTCTGCTTAGAAACCTGAGGGTTGGTAATTATAAATATTTCAGCAAATTTTTTTTTTGGGTGAACTATTCCTTTATAATATTACAACTATCCACTAAAAAGTGGGACAAACTTCCAAAAAAAACTCTCTAAAAGCACTTGCAGTGTATTCTATGTCCCTGACACAACCTTCACATTTTACATCATAAAGATTTTAGGATAAGATTCTGTATTGTTTCCTTATCATGATAAAAGAACAGCTATTGGAGCGATAACAATAATTAAATTGCTGTTTTATGGTATATAGCCTACAGACTTGTTCCTACTGATTTTTTGAAAAGATTGTGTCAGCGACAGCACCAGCATTTTTAACATCCATGCCGCCCAGCACACTGAATATGTGAGAATATGAGTGAGCGCTGGTGTGTGTACGTGAGAGATGCATGTGGTTATTTGTGTCTATAAATGTGCGAGAATATGAGCAATCTCTGTGAGTGCACTGGTGTGAAGGTGAGAAAGCGAGCGGTGCGCGGCTGAGAGAGAGTAAATGAAGGCCTCAGGTTTATGCAGTCTCCGTATAACTCAGTGAATACACAGTCAGTCAGTCTTCACATCAGAGAACAGCAGCGAGATCCTCCCATTGGGTGTCATCCAACTCCCCTTCCCGCCCGCACACACACACACACACACACACACACACACACACACACATACACATTCAGAGACAGTGACTGCTATTGTCTGAGACAGAGATGTATTATGTTCTGTCTCTCACGCTGTCAACGACCTACTCTCACAAGACAGCAAGAATGAACACGCAGCTCCACTGAGACATTAACGAGACTCAAATCAAACGTGCTGACCAAATACGACACGTTGAGTTGCCCAAATATATACTTGGTATTTGTTGAGCAGCAGGAGTGTTGAGTTTCGGCGCTGATGGGTCATTCACACTGACAGTGATTTCAGTCGCTGGAGGTCAGCAGGTCACTAGCAGGCATTGCTATTTCTGGATGCCATAATGTTATGGTGGGCTGTGTAACCATAGCTTTCGGAAATCTGATTTATTGTTGGCAAAAACATATAAAAATGAACATTATGCAGCCAAGGGAAAGTGCTACATAAATTGTAGCAGTAAATATGAATGACTTCTGGTTGATGCAAACTGGCGTCAACACCCAAGAAGTCTATTTTTGCACTACAAACCTATTTATCATCACAATCATTTGCAGTAAACAGAAGATACTGCCCAGCCAGCATTTCAACATTTATTTATGATGAAACAATGTAATTGGTTAAGGCTGACTCACTGTTGAATTTTGCAATGTCGAAAACAAATCAGTGTCGAAATCACAATGTCTTGCTTTTACAATGTGTGGTAAACATTTCAGTATTCAATTATTTTGTTAAAGGGGTCATATGATGCGGTGAGGGGCGTAACATTTCTGTCTCACGCTTGAGGTATTCGGCCATTCACAACGCATTGGATAGCTGGCCAATCAGAGCACACCTCGCTTTTCAGACCGATTAGTTTTGTAAAAATCGACGCGTTTCAAAAAGGCGGGGCATAGAGGAGAAACAATAATGTACAGTATGTGGAAAATAATGTGTTTTTTGAACTTTAAACCGCATAAACACATTTCATTACACCAAATACACCAAATAATGTTCTTTTTAGCAGCATCATATGACCCCTTTAACAATTCTATAGCCATTTATAAACATTGTTTCAACATTTTGTCAATGTTAAAAAATACACTGATATTATATCAAACACATTTCAATGTTAAAAGTTGGCAAAATGCCGGCTGGGTCAACAAACATCCTTTACCACCACAGAAAAGTCACATAAAACATTTGCAAAATCACCATCAGGTGGTGTAAAGAGATTTTTTTTTTTTGAGCGTCAGACTTATTTTAGTATTAATTATATACAATTATAGGATTTATTGTTATTATTTTAAATTAGCTTTTATTATTTTTTTGTATTTTAATATTAGCATAAGTTTGATTTGATTTCATCATATTTATACATTTTTTGTTTTTAATATTTTTATTTAGTCTTACATTTATTTTAGTTTTTTTAGTTGCCAAAGCAACATTTCTAATTTTCATTTAAGCTAGTGTATATATATATATATATATATACTGTATACTGTATACACACACACAATACAACAAATTTAGCAACAAACAATACTGTAGTAAACTACTACACCCGTTGTTTGAAAAAAGACACAAGACACACAAACACTTTCTAATCTGTAAATTTGACTGAATCCAGACAATTGAATAACTTTATAGCTATAGTTTTGGGGGTCTGAGTTACGATTTGTGTAAATATGATCTGTTTACTTATGTAAATTAGATTTCAAGACAATCAGTTTTATCAGAATGCTAAATAGCACGTTCCTGATAATCATTTTTTAATGCATTACCATTATTAAAGGAAATACTTGATGGTAGTTCTGCATATGCAGCTGCTCTGCTTTAGTGTTTGGTATGAAACAGGAAAACTCACAAAAATCATGTCACATCAAGGCTGTATCTGATCACCAAACGACACTAGTATTTTGTGTCGACGTCTTCAAATGCCTGTTAGAATTTAAAGCTCTCTAATGCCACTGAGAAATGAAGATTAGATTTATTTATCTTGGGGACCAAATGCTTGAATAATGGATCCAATACTCTGTAAATAGGATTAGTTGCCAAGGTTACCTGCATTGTGGGAACGGTGCTGGCTGAAGGCACACACATTCAAACACACACCGACACGCTCACAGACACACTCGCACTCTCATGTGTGCAGTCATTCATGGAAACAGAAATTGGAATAGTGAAATATGTCCTGGGATCATGCCATAAAACACCAAAAAAAACAACAAAAACCTTTTATGCTGGACAGGAATCATTTCAGTGAACACGGCCTGTACATAGCCCTCTCTTCAACTTCATCTCTCTCACTTCTGCCCACAGAAAGAAAATATAATTATTCTTTGAAATCTAAGTTGTTTCTCCTACACAGAAATTAGATTAAGTGGACTTTTAAGTATAGCATAACTCAACTGTAGGGTCTCAACTTTAGATCTTAACCGTAATGTCATGAATCGTGACCGCATGTGGGTTTTGCTCACCAAAACACCAATTACATCTTCTTATATTTATATAAAAAAGACCTCAGTAATCTCACATGTGACTTTCAGAACAGATCTCAACAATGCCTCAAAGATTTGTAGACACCAAAGTTTGCAGATAAAAGTCAGAATTTCTCTACTGTTCAAAAGTTTGGGGTTAGTAAGATTTTTAAATGTTTTTGTAAAAACAGTAATATTGTGAAATATTACATTATGTGATACATTTTTTCAGGAGTCCTTGATGAATAGAAAGGAACAACAGTTTAAAAAGTATATACATCCTCATTGAATAGAATATATTAATTTCAAACAATCAATCAATCAATCATTCAAATAAAATAAAATCTAACTTTTGAGTAAAGAGCAAATTAATAATCCACACTACTTTTAGACTTACAGGCTATAAATGTCAATAATTGTCTCATTTGTGTCTATCATTACATCAAAACCTGGAGCAAAACATTTCAACAAATCTATTTTACATACAGTAAAAAAAAAATGCATGTTGATCATGTGTTAACAAATAAATAGCATTTTCATTGATGTCTCTGCAGATGGTGTGTGGTTGAAGTTTTTTTTTCTCGGTTTATTAACTTATGTTTTTTGGATTTCAATTAGAAAATAATAATATGTTAAATATATAATACAATAAAATAATAAAATTTTACTTTGTTTTATGGAATCAAGTTTGGTTTTTATCATTATGCCAAATCCTGGAACAAATGAGAT